AAGTCCGCTCTTTTTCGAAGAGGGCGCCACCAAATTTTGAAGACACTTTTTTAATTGGCTCAAAGAGAGGAGTGAACTATCTTGTTGTGTACGATCTTTGCGTCTACACAGTAGTGAAGAGTGTAAACTAAACCTACAGAAACCAAAACGTTTACAAAGTAGTAATGAAAAGTCTAAACCGAACCCACATAAACAAAACCAACAACTTACTTTGGCGTCATCCTCGTCAAAGACCGACTTGGCCAGCTGATTGGACGACTTCCGGAAGGCGGGGTCCGCCTGCTCTCGCTGCATCTGCTCCGCCCTCTCTTTGAGCATGCGCCGGAAGCCATCTTTGGAGGTCGCGGACAGCAGCTTGTGGCGAAAAGTGAGGTCGGTGAAGAGGGAGGAGAAGGTGCGCCCCAGCTCCATCACGCTTTTTGTGGCTTTCTGAGAATATACGAGACGTAGCGATGTTTTGGTTTAGTTCCGTTTAGTTTTAGTAGAGGTATTACGGGGCTCGCAACACAACGGGTCATACAAGCGCCGAATAATAGATTACGTGTTACAAGAGAGTAACATACACAAAAAAGAAGGAGGGGAGATAAGCACGACAGATGTTTGACAGGAAAGAAGGAGCAAACCACACCAGAGCACCCGCCAACCATCCCACGGAGGTTTTGGTATAGTTTAGGGTTGTTGTTTTTTTGTTTGTTGAGTAAATAGAAGGACACCGACGTAATAATGTTCATTTAGTGCGGGGGAAATGTGAGACAAAGAGACAGAAACGATAGAGGGACATTTAAGAAGAAGGACCTACTAGTGGCGCCCTTAAACCAGCTGCGTTTTAGTTTGTTTTTTACTGAGAGTTTTACAGTACTTGAAACACGAATAGGTCATACAAAAGTCGAAGATTAGTGGTGTTGCTAGAAAGTAACAAAGAAAGATAAAGACGGAGTAGGAAAAATGAGGATGATAGATGTTTGATAAGGAAGAAGGAGCCAACCACACCAAAGCACCCGCCACCCACTAACACGCAAGGAGGAACATTTGATTTTTCCCCCTTTTTGGGGGGAAGGGGGGGGGGTGCCAAGATGGCTAATCAGGCCGATGTTTGCTCAGAGATGTCTGTTGCGGCGGGAACAGGAGATGTGTTGGGGGATTATCTAGGTCGGGAGAAAAGGTGCTCTCGATCTTTCCTCAGCTAACGCCTTGTTCTGTGAATCTGACACGCCTCTCTTCGAATTCAGCAGCTTCATATCTCATTAAGAATCACCTGTCCAGTATAGCAACTGACTGACCACAATTCTGTCCCCGTGGCTTTATTACCAAAATTTGACCTTTTTTGTGCATAATTTCCGATTATTTTCCTTTATCATTCTTCGTGAAAATTAACAGAATCGCATAATTTCCCATTTTTGGGATACGTTTGCATAATTTCAGAATTCATCTTGCACAAAACGACGGGGACAGACAATTTGTGAAAGCCTGACCCA